GACGGACACCCAAGATGGGTTCAGGCATTGTAGCAACCATCATAATTGCTACTAAAACTAACAAACTTATCGCCTTATTCGAAACCATTCTTCTTTTCTTTTCTTTGGTATATTGTGTTTTTCATGATGAATAGGGGATGAGGAGGAGGACCCTTTTATAGAGGAGGTGCTCAAATAATAATACTCCCTTCATCCGCCTTGATTTTGATTTTTTTTTTTTTTTTTTTTTTTTCATCTTTGGGAAAAGTTTTGGGAGGATCAATTGTCCAATCTGCAATGGTGGAACTGGAGACACTGAGGGATTTTTTATGCACTTTCATATTTTTTTATTTATATTATAGGTAAATTTCAAGTTCACCTCTCATAATCGAAATTAATAAGATGACTCCATTAAATGGATGAATTTGAAAGATCTACTCAATTGAATAAATTAAATATAAAATGAAATAATAAAATTTAAAATGTTTAATTTGATATTTAATGGGGGTTATGGTTTAATTGCATGACAACTTTATCAACTGGACAAGCAAAAGGTTGTTTCTTTGTGAAGGTCAAAATTATTGATTTACACATAATTGTGTTTAAATGACATTGAGACCTATGAAATAAATTTGATGATTGTGTCAAAGTAGATGTATTAGGAAGAAAGGAAACCAAACTGACTACGGTGAAAGGGGGAAAAAAAGCAAGAAGGAAGTCATCAAGGGAATTATCAAGGGTTTAATGGCTATAATTGGGGTTGTACTCTATGATTTTTGAACTTATTTAATCTATTCCTGATTATGTTTGTAGATGTTTTTGCAATATTGCACTGTTGAATAATTGCATAATTGTTTCCTGAGGAAATGTTGAAAACAACTGGAAAAGTTGTAAACAACTGGAAAAGTTGTGCAGCGAAGAACGAAAAGTTTAAACACAACCAATATACACATTCCATTAATTTACCAAACTATATTTCTCTAAATACTCAATGTCGTGAAGATTTTAAACACAACCCAATATAAACATCAAGAAAAGGCAAGCCACTCCGCGCGCATCTAGTTTAAACACAACCCAATATAAACATCAAGAAAAGGCAACCCAATGTCGTTGGCTGCCCTAGTTTTATGGAAATTCAAACTACTTGATGTTTCAATAATATAAATCTAACAACAACTTATTTATTACTACACTCTTTGTATTTTATTACGTGCTCCATTCTATGATTTATACGAGGGGACCACTGTGGGGAGAAAAATACTAATGGAGTAACATTTAATTAGAGTACATTATATATAAAAAAAATTGTCAGTGTTGATAAAAAAATTGTCAAATATCAATTATTCTATGACGGAGGGAGTATTTAATTAGTTTATTTAATATTAAAATACTAGGTGAGCCTACGCGCGTGTTGCGCGCAACATAATTAGTTTTTGTGGTCGAGTTGTAATATCTTGTCACGACACCCAAAACTTATTGGCTAGGTTTTAAAACGCAAACTAAAAAAATAAATCGTTGACAATCATACCCTTGCGTAGATATGGAATTGTCATCTCATTTTAAATGAAGTTGTAAGCTTTTTGTGTTGCAATATGACTTTTGTTGTGAGTTATAATATATACATCCTCTGTCAATTTTAGTTGCAACACTTGAAAATACATATACACTATTCACATTTTTATAACTAATTTTTATTTTTATTGACTTTATTTGTTGGCAAAAGTCATGTAGGATCTTATTAATTAGATTTATCTTGATTTATTATATATATGTTTTAAATATTTAATATTTAGATTTTTTTACATGTCTATAATTAGAGATACATTGACAAACGTGAAACTTAAAATGCTGCAACAAAAAGTTAACAGAAAAAATTTCAAAAGAAGAATGTCTAATTAGGTGATAGGTAAGTAAAACATAGAGGAAGTGACTTCGGTGGGTTTGTGTGTTTTTTTAAGGAAATGGTAACAAAGTGGATTATATCTGGCCTTTTCCCCCTACCCCTTGAGGAGGATTATTAACATGTTAAACAATTTTTCCTTCTAACTCGACATCAAATTCAACAATCACCTCCTCTTCTTCTTCATGTGGCTTAACTTGGTAGGCGCTTCTTTAATGGAGGACTATTTCGCTTCAATGGAGGAGAGAAAGAGAGTATGGAAGTAAAGGAGGAAAGAGAGAGAAAGGGGGTTTAAAAGAGGGGAAAAGGTTGTTAGTTGGAAGGGAAGGAAGATTAAAGAAGAAAAACAAATACGGGAAGCATTAACACACTTAACAAGTTAATATTACATAAATGGATATATAAGTAAATAAACATTTTACATAAATGGATATATAAGTAAATAAACACACTTAACAAGTTAATATTACATAAATGGATATATAAGTAAAAAAATCATCACACTATTCATAAGAGTTCTTTTAAACTTTTTATAAGGTAGGGATCTAGATAATTTTATAATGAATACGATAATTTGGTATTCATTTTATTATTTCAATCACAACCGTATATTTCTAGTATTAAATCCACACCAATACCATCCATTTATTAGGAAACAATGATTGACTCAAAATACCTTCTCACATACACGACCAGCCGTTATTGTAATAAGAAAATAAAAAATAAAAAAAAATAGAGAGAAAACTAGTACTACACTACTACGTATAAAGAATGCTTATAAAAGAATACATAATCACTAGACGTGTCGGTTTCCATTTTTGTTGATCTTGAATAAAATTGTTTTGACCCAAATCCCAATTTTACCTCTAATTTGCGGGTAAAACTTGACCTGAACTCGGTCGACTCAATGATATGTGTTTTTTTTATTGAAAATATTATCAAGAATTACCCACTGAATATATCATTTTGTCAACAAATACTCGCTTAAAACTCTTATAAAAAAAAACTATCCTTAAATTTCAAATTAACTTGGAGTAGTACCTATTTGTGAATTTCGACAAGAATCTCCGGTAGATGGGGCTCTTTTTCAAAATTTAACTCTTATAATAGGTTCTAACCATAATATATAGCTACCCATCCTTTTTCTCATCTTCTCTTCACAAAAACTCATCTTAAAATCCAATTTTTTTTAGATTTTGACATGTTAAATGGTTAAAGGAGGAGAAAGTTAGTGGGTTTTTTTTATGAAAAGAAGATCAAACAAAAAAGGGTGAGTAGTTATTTACTTATAAGAGGGTTAGAACAAATTTTAGGAGTAAAAAATGAAATTGAGCCTCACTCACCGGATTTTTTGTCGAAATTTATATAAATGGATAGTGTTACTCAATGTTTAATAATTTAAATGGTAGTTACTTTGATAAAATTTTTAAATGAGTATTTGTTGACAAAATGATATATTTATTGGATAGTTCTTGATAATATTTCCTTTTTTATTTGAAAATGAATACTAGTTTTTGATTGAATTTGATCATTTGTCCAGGATTCTATAGTCATTTCTCTCTGATATGTCTACCAGTCTATCTCATATAACCCTCTCTCAAATTCACGCAAACCAACTTCTTTGTGTGAGATTTTGTTAGATTCATCTCAAATTTTAGCTTTCAAATATGTAACTTTTTTTTTTTGTAAGTACCTTGACATATTGTAAGTAAAATATTGCATTGAAAATCGCGCAAAAAACAAATAGAACGAAAAGTAGAACAGAGGGAATAGGTTTTTTTTTTTTTCTTTTTTTCTTTCTTCCATATCATAGTAATATTGCTCACTTATTAATCAGTGGCTCACATATAACTAGCATTATCGTTAAATATCGATCATTTGGGGCAACAAACTTATCTAAGTTTCTTTCTCCAATTGCTCTATCAATAGATCGAGCAGGTATGATGTAAATTTGATCCACAACTTGACAAGGACCACAAAACAAGAGTCTCCTTTCAATAATAAATACATCATGCATCCGTATCTTTTACATGCCCCATATAGACTTTTGCAATATCATGTACATCGATTTGACCATTATTTATGATTAATTTATATATTTAACATAGTCACATGGATAATTTGTAAATATTAAATTCGTCTTAACATATAGATTTCTGAATATAATTTTTTTATAGTCGCATGGGTAATTTGTAAATATTAGATTCGTCTTAACATATAGATTTCTAAATATAATTTTTTTATATAATCTATGCCTATTGCTAATTAATTAAAGATAGTATTGCTTAATTAGTTAAGAAGTGGATTGACAAATATGACAATTAAGTTAGGACATTACAGTTCAAATAAAAAAGGGATTATGTTGTCAAATTCAGTTATTGGTAACATGCTGCATGAGGTTGATAACTCATTCAAGTATCACACCCAACCACCTTGGTGAAATTTTCAATTTTCGTTTTTAATAGTGGCCAAGGTCACAAATCTCGCAATAAAGATCTTTGTGTAAATTAAACATGTATATATGGTTCGATTCTTATCAAACAAACAAACAAAAAATAAATAAAAATAAAAGCAAAAGCATGTCGGTATGGTGATACAATAAACTTTATTGTTTTTTTGTTGTTACCAGTAGTTGGACGTACATTTCAATAGATATTGATTTTTCTAGAGACAAAACTTTCTAATTTTTGCTAAATTCAATATGCTGCAAAATGAAGGGATAGTTACACTCTTTAAATGGGTAAAATCAAGGAAAAAACTTGTGTGGACCTGGTTTACAATATTATTATTGTGGACCAAGTTTCATACATGCACAACTAACACATTGCTCAACATATATAGTAATCCTAGTTTTAACATAGTGACCTTTATTAAAAGTTTTATGAGTGACAAATGTGTATGTATAACGTTAGATGATGTGTCTCTAAGTGATATCATATAGATTTTTTAGGATAAAAAAGTTATTTTAAAGTTTTATTTTCGATAAACTCATTTTAAATATATCGCATATAAAAGAATACTTCATCCGTTTCTTTTATTGCACCATAAGGGACTTTTACAATATTCACAAAATCATCTTTGACCATCTTTTGTGATTTATTAGTAAGAATCTCCTAGGTTTCTATACGTTTCCCCCTAATATTATTGAGAGGATCAAGGCTATCAAAATCTTTCCTGGTACCAAAGACAACCTGATTTGCTTCCATGCACGTGGAGAATCTTTCAATGCCTCTGCCTTATATAGGCAACAATGGCTATCTGCAAATGCCATTGATCAGATTCAGTTTGTTAACATGTTTTGTTTTGTGTTTTTTTTTTTTTTTTTTTTTTTTTTTTTTGTTTTAAATTGTAATATTAGCTAGATGTAAGGGTGGTTTATACTTGATGTAGTTAAAGTAATTGTGTGATGAATTTATAATGAATATTAGAGGTGTTTTCTTTATGTACCTACACCAATGTTTAAACGATCTACCGTGTTTACTTAATATACGTGCTAATTTATTTTTAATGTATCTAAATGACTAAATTTCTCACTCTTCTTGAGCACTTCTCAACCGCATTGGAGGACTTACTCTATACAGTTTCTATCAGCAATTATTGGAGCAAAGAGGACAAATATTTACGTAGATTGCATGGCAGTCATCGGCAAGACCGTAAGAGTGCAATATTATTGTTGGAAGTAATTAAAGAAAAACAATACTTCATGGATCATTCGAGGTGAGAAATATAATACACTCAGATTCGTAATAATCATAACACTTTCTCAATATATGAATTTCATAATAATTACAACACCTTCATATTTGAAAATGACCCAAAATGTTCTCCGACAACCCCTTTTTAGGACGGACTCGTGACGCGAAATATCGTCATAAATTTATAGATATTATCGCTGGTTTAGATTCATCTTAATATATAGATGTCTAAATATAAATTTTTTTTATAATCTATACTCATTGCTAATTAATTAAAGATATTATCACTTGTTTAGTTAAGAAGTGGATTGACATACATGACAATCAAATTGGGACAGTTGAAAATGAAAGGGAATATGTTGTCAAATAAATTATTGGTAGCATGAGGCTGTTAACGCATTCAAGTATGAAGTATCACATCCATCCACCTTGGCGGATTTTTCAATTGTCGTCTTTAATAATGGTCAAGCTCTCACAAACCTCACAATAAAGATCTTTTTGTAAAATAAACATGTTATTGTATGGTTCTTAAAAATAAAAAAATAAAAAAAATAAAATAAAAAACATGTGGGAATGGTGATACAATGCTAGTTTTTTTAAAAAACAAAAAAGTTAAGAAGGGGTAGTTTTGGAACCCCTCTTCACTTTGTATATTAGATTTTTAATAATGGCCAAGGTCATAAATAATCTCACAATTAAGACCTTTGTGTAAATTAAACATATCGTATGGGTCTTATTATAAAAAATAAAATAAAATAAAATAAAAAAACGCCGGCATGGTGATACAATAAACTCTATTGTTGATTTGTTGTAAAATACTAGTAGCTAGACATCTCAAAAATATAAGCTAGAAAATACACACAATGCATGCATGTGCAATATAAGAAACCAAAAAAAAGAAAAAATGGAAAAAAAATAATCTCACCTTTGCTTAGTCATCCGAAAATAATTAATCCCAGCCTCGATTATTCTCGAAATAATCTCACCTTTGAGCCTTTGATATCAATCTTCTTTTTATAAGCCTAAATGTTTGGGCCTAGTCCATGTCCTAAACCCAGTCACTTGAAATGACGAAAATACCCCTCCATGATCTAGCCCACTATTAATCATCATAAAGTACAAATTTACCCCTAATTTGTCCACTAAAGTACAGTTATGCCACCTGAAAGTACATCCACAAAAAGCTCTCAAATTATTAATGATGGTAATTTCTCTGATTCTCACTCCTTCTCTCTTTACTTTCTCTCTCTAGAAAGTCCACACTCTCTCTCTACTTTCTCTCTCTTAAAGTATGATTCGCTGACTTAAGCATCGAATGATCTTTCCCGAGTCACACCCCGGGGCAGCTAACCTTCTCGTTCTTTCTTGTAGGCCGAGCCCCTAGACGCTCTTGCAAGGCGGAGCTTAGGGACTTTCCTAAGGACTTTTGGACAACTGGACTTAAACTCTAGGACCTCTTGATACCTTAATACCCTAACACTCTCAGCCTTTCAGGAACATTCTGTTTCTAGAATTACCCATTTTACAAGTTAAATATTTTTATTTAAAAAAAAAATTATTTCTCATCTACTCCACAAACCACCTCATTGCCACTAACACTACCACCCAACACCCTTGAAAACACCAATGGCCAACCAAACAAACCCACCCCCTTCCCTACCTTCCTGCACCCAACACTACCTCCTTTACCTCTCCTCAATAGACGACACCTCCCCAATAACAAAAGTAGTGGGATATTAATGGAGGAAAGAGCGGCATTTACACCCCGCATTCAAGCAACAACATCCATCGTTGTCACCAATGTCACCCAAAAACCTGCTCCCTCAACCAATGCTAACCCGGCCCACAAGTCTTAGGAGCCAAAAAAGAATCCTTCTTAATTCTTGCTTCTAACTAAAACTTACCTATTCAAATCGTCACCACCATCATCGTCGTCACCCAACAACAACAATTAACAACGATAAAAAAAAAAACAAAATTAACCCAAATCACCAATTAAATTGGCGATAAACCCTTTAATTAATTATTATTATTAATATATGTTACCGTAGAAGTTGCTTTAATGGGAGAGAGAAAGTTCACAGGTTGATGGAGAGCTCTTAGAGTACACTTCAACGAAGAAAAGGAAAGGAAAAGGGGTAAAATCACTAGTAGAAAAAGCTAAATGGACACTGCATGCATCAAAACCCTCCTATGAGCACTGATTTTGAACTGTAGGTGCTCAAGGGGTTGCCCATTACAAAGGTTATTGGAACTGAACCGGTGCCCTTTTATGATAATGGGAACCGATTCAAAAGCCTAACCGGTGCCCATTACATGAGCTAATGCCCTTTATGCCTTAAAAAATTATTTAAAAAAAAAATAGGAAATATTTACACTTTTCATCCAAAAAAGTAAAAGGACAAAATATCACAACACCATAATTACAACAAGAGCAGCATCCCCATGAATTCTTAATGATATGGCCTTTCCTGAACCTTATAGGAGCATACCCGGCAGACCCATAACCAACCTCAGCAGCAACAACAGTCCAATCATTTAACAACCCCAGCAGCAACATTAGTTTTGTTTCAGCTCTGCATGACTGCAATCCTTGAACAATTCCTAAGACAGTTTTGTACTACTTTAGTTGGCAAGGAGTTTTGTACTACTTTAGTTGGCAAGGCGGCAGCCGCCTTGCGAGGCCAGCAGTAGCAATAACCTTGCAAGAGTACTCAGCAGCAGAGTGGACCAAAGAGAAGAAGATCAATTCAATGCAAGGTTAAAATGAATTTGACTATGAATCAGCCACATACACAGTAATTGAGCCAGTTTAATGCAAGATATAATTACATATAATTTCTGTCAAATTCATCAATCCTCCATTAAAATGCTCGAGGAAAGAAAAGTTTAAGCAGGAAGAAGAAGAGGATTTTGTTATCTTGAGAGAAGAGTTATTACAACCAACTACTTATTACAACTGTGAGAAGCATTTATATAGCTAGCTAAAACTAACTGAAAAATAGAAAAAGGAAAAAGTTGTTATAACTAACTAACAACTTGTGTTGACTAATCAAAAGTGTGTGGACTAGACCTCATTGTATAATGGGCCTTGGCCTGATCCGGAGTATTCTCAACACCCCCCCCCCTCAAGCTGAATTGTGGTTTGAACAGGCCAAGCTTGGACAGAAGATCAAAGAATTGAGCAGAAGGCAAGATTTTGGTGAAGACATCTGCCAATTGGGATTGAGTTGGAACATAAGTCAGCTTTAAACCTTCCATTACCTTTTCTCTTGTGAAATGGCAATCAATCTCTATATATTTTGTCCTTTCATAAAATACTGGGTTTCTTGCAATGTGTAATGCAGATTGGTTGTCACAATGAAGAGTGACAGGAAGTAAATCTGTAATCCAAGTTCTTGCAGTAGCCTAACCATCCATGTTACTTCAGCAGCTGCACATGCCATGGCTCTATAATCAGATTTAGATGAAGATCTTAAAGTGGTTGGCTGCTTCTTTGACTTCCAGCTAATAGGTGAGGCACCAAGTTGCAGAACATAACCAGTAACACTCTTTCTGGAATCAAGACAAGCCCTCCCCCCCGGTCTGAATCACTAAAAGCTTGCAAAGTTAAAGTATTTGAAGCTTTTAATAATATTCCTTGTCATGCTGTTTGAGTAACATACCTCAGAGTATGCTGTAAAGCTTCCCAATGAATAATCCTAGGACTCTACATGAACTAACTCAAATACTGGACTGTATATGCAAGATCATGCCTGGTATGTGTGAGAAAGTTCAGCTTTCCTACTAGACTTCTGTAAAAAGATGCATCTGATAACAAATTTCCTTTTTCAACTGGAGTGAAGGTTTCTTCATAGTCTATCCCAAACTTTTTGTGTATACCCTTTTGCAACAAGCTTTGCCTTGAATCTTTCTATGGTACCATCTGCCCTAAGCTTGATCTTGAAAACCCATTTACACCCTATAGGTTTCTTACCAGCAAGCAGATTAACAATCTCCCATGTATGATTCTTCTGTAGAGCTTCAAGTTCTTTTTGCCTTGCATTTATCCAATCAGGATGTTTAGAGGCTTCTTTATAGGTACTAGGTTCTTTTATGGCAGAGGACAGGACAGCTAAGGCTTTTTTAGTTTCTGGTATGCTAGAATAGCTAACCAGGTTACACTAATAAGAAAGGTTAGCCTTTTTAGAAGTTCTGCAATCATAATCATTCATCCATGCAGGAATCTGTCTGGGTCGGAATCTACTTCAGGTATTATGGAAGAAAGAATATCAGTGACTTCAGCAGAACTGGAAGGAGAATGAATAGGATAAGGAAGAGAAGAAGAATTGGAAGTAGAATTTGTGTCCTGAGTATAAAAGGATGATGAATTAGAAGATACAGATTCTGTGTGAGGATCACTATTGGTTTGTGAAGCAGAAGAATGATCAGAGAAGGTTTGAGTAGTGGAATGATGATTAAACAAATTTTGTGAAGTAGGAACAACTGGATACCCTTCTGTAAGATCTAAGAATGGATCAGCAAAGATATGATCATTATTCAAGTTTGGTAGGAAAAATTGAAAAGGTGTAACCTCTTTTGACTTTGGTAAGTGAAAGGGAAAGTGTTGTTCATGGAAATGTACATCTCTACTGACATAATTAGTATTGTTATCTAAATGAAGTACTTTATATCCTTTTTTAGTAGGAGAATATCCTATGAAAACACAGGGATCAGCTCATGGATCAAACTTACTCCTCCCTACTTTAGAAGTGGAAACATAGCAAAGACAACTAAAGACTCTAAGATGAGAAAGATTTGGTGGGATTTTATAGAGTTTCTGGTATGGTGTGAGGTAGTTTAGAACTGATAAAGGCATTCTTTTTATGAGATGGGATGCACTTAAAACACACTCACCCCAATACCTTTGAGGAACCTTTGATTGAAAATAAAGAGCTCTGGCTGTTTCTAACAAGTGCTTATGTTTTCTCTCTACAATCCCATTTTGTTGTGGATCGGAGTTCCTACACAACTAGTTTGATGATGTATCCCTTTACCAGTATGCAACTCAACAATTCCTCCCCTAGTAAACTCCTTGGCATTATATGTTCTTATAAACTTAACTATACAATTATGTTGCTTCTCAGCAAAGGTAACAAAATCAAACAATATTTGAACAGAATCAGACTTGAATTGAAGCATGTGAATCCATGTCATTCTAGTAAAATCATCAACAATAGTAAGGAACATAGAGCAACCATTATGAGTTTTAAAACGAAGGGGTCCCCAAATATCAACATGAATTAACTCAAAAGGAGCATAATTTTTTATTTCACTACAAGTAAAAGACAATCTAATTTGTCTGGCTTTAAAATAGATTTGACATATACTATAACACTAGCCTTTATTTTTCACTTCTGGTAAAACATAGCCTATTTTCTTAAAGGGAAGATGGTCTAACCTTAAATGCCAAAGTTTAGCATTATTATTTTCTGCACTAGCATATGTAACTGTATGACTACTTACAGAGGTAGAAGTGGGAGAGTCAAGATCCTCAGAAGTGGGAAAATTAAGATCCTCAAAAGGAATTGGAGGCAATCTATCACCAACATGGTACAATCCTGACTTTTGTCTACCAAGAACAATTTCCCTGGCCAAGGAAGGATCCTGTATAATACAAGAATCAGAGGTAAACTTAACATTACAGTTCATGTCCTTGCAAAGTTTATGAACATATATTAGGTTGAACTGGAATTTAGGGACATATAACATTTTTGAGGACTATGTTCTGCTCTAAAGTAACTTCCCCTATCTGAGAAATGACTACTTCATTGCCATCTGATATAGTTATAGTGTTATCTCCATGTTGTAAAGGAGAATAAGAATCAAACAAGTACAAGTCATAGCAAATATGATCTGTTGCCCCACTATCAATAATCCACCCATTCTTAAAAGCTGAAAAGAGGCACATTTTACCTGCAAAGTAAGCTGCAGACTTGTTTTCTTCCTTGGAAGCTGCTGTTGAACTCATTGCACTATCATCTTTAGGTGTCTATAAGAAATTCATCAGTTTAGTATATTGTCCCCTTGTAAAAGTAGTTGTCACAAGATCACTACCATCATTATTGTCATCAAATTGATCAGCAGAAAAAGAACCATCACCCTGAACAATATTAGCAAACTTCTTCTGATTATTAGCCTTAAAATTAGGTGGATACCCTTTCAGCTTAAAACACCTGTCAATTGTATGACCAGTTATCTTACAATGTTCACAGAAAAACATGCTTCTTCCTTTATAACCAGTGCCATTATTCCTTCCTTGAAAACCTCCTCTAGATCCATAAGACTAAGAATCGTTAGCCTGATTGTTTTGACTAGGTCTATTGTAAGACTGAAAACTAGGCCTATCAGTGAATTTCCTTTTATCTGCTGCAAATGCAAAAGCTTCTAAAGAAGTTACAATATTAACATGCTCACTAATTTGCTTATGCTTTTGTTCTTGTAATAACATTCTATATGCCAAAGGCAAAGTGGGAAGAGGCTGCATCATCAGGATATTGCTTCTAACTTGTTTATACTCATCTATCAGTTTCATCAAGAATTGTAATAACCTGTAATCCTACTGTATCTTTAGAAACTTTCCTGTTGATCCAAGATTAAGAAGCCCACTTAGAAGCTCCATGGATCAAGAGCCAGTTGCTCTAGTCTTGGAGACTCTTGGGTTTTTATCCATTTTCAAAGAAGGCCGAAATTCTACGTTGCATTTCATGGGTGGATTGAAGATTGAAAAACGGTTGGCATAAATAAATCACACTTTGGCCCATTTCACTACTGTTTTGGGCATGTGTTGCTTGGTCCGTTTACTTAGTATTATTAGCTTAAGTTTGTTGTTTTCTTTGCTGAAAAATAATGCCAAGAGTTTCTCTTTGGCCGGTTGCAATAGGAAGAGTTTAACTCTTCATCTTTAGGCTTAATTAGTGCATTTAAGCTAGCTTGTTTAAGGAAAACCGTGGCTTTTGGCTCTCCATCTTTTGGATGGTTTTTCATGCCTTTTGGTGTGCTTTTTTGCTGCTCCTTTCCTCTATAAAAGGGAGAGCAAACCAGAAATAAAATGAGTTTTTGGAGTTATACATAAAACCGTGAGGTTGCTAGCATTCTTCTTTGTGTTTGTCCAAAGTTTGAGTGTTGTTCCTTGTTGCTTTGAGTTAGTTCTTGAGTGACAAGATTAAAGAGAGATTGAGTGAGTCTTGTATCTAGCCTAAGAACCCAGAACTTTGAGTGTGTTCTTGAGTTTTGGTTAGTTTCACTATTTTAAATTGTTTCAAAGTGAGTTGTGTTTCATTCAAGTCTAAATACCATAAAAACTTGTTGGAGGGGTGTTTTAGACTTACATCACTTGTAACATTACACACACAACCATTGCAAGTACAAACTTGTATGGGGTTTACATCATCAAGTTGATCCCAGAGAACTTTGATCTTTACAAAAAATTCAGCAATCTCCTCAGTTTCTTCATGAGCTGCAGAGATTTGTTCTTGAATCCCATACAATTTAGTAGATGAAACTTGACCATATCTTTCTTCTAAATCTTTCCACATCTCTCTTGCAGTCTTATAAAAGAAAACACTCTTCTTAGTAACAGGCCCTAGAACACCTAGAATCCATCCTATAACCAAATCGTTACATCTTACATAGGCTTTGTAATTAACATCCCCAGAAATTGGAGTAGGTAAAGTTCCATCAACAAAACTCAACTTATTCTTAGTTGATAACCCAATTATCATCGATCTCTTCCATGAAGAATAGTTTTCTCCATCAAAAACCTCAGAGATGAACTTATGAGTACTATTTATGAGTATTATTATCAGAAGGATGTATATAGTAAATCATATTAGGATCTTGAGTAAGTTCAAGAATCCTGTTAGAATTATTAGTATTCTCTATTCCAACCATATTTCAGAATCAATGAACAATATGTAATTCAAAAAACAACCCACAATTTACAATCCAAAAAATACTTCCAGAAAATGAACAACCCAACAACCAATCAAACTCTTATCAACAAAACACAAGAAGGATCTAGTAACAATCTCTCAATTCAATCGATCAATCAGAAAATCAAGAACAAAACACAACAACTTCACAATCAACCAAAAAATCTGACAATCTTCAGAATAGTCGCAAACTTCAAACAGAAAACTTCAATCGCAACAGATCAACAAAATTTCTAATCAATCCAAAAAGAAACCAATAACAAGATTCTATAAGAATAACAAACCAAAACAAATCGACGGAAATCGCAGCGGAAAATCTTCAGGATCAAAGTATCAGTGGCTCTGATACCATGTCAAATTCATAAATCCGCCATTAAAATGCTCGAGCAAAGAAAAGTTTAAGCAGGAAGAAGAAGAGGATTTTATTATCTTGAGAGAAGAGTTATTACAACCAACTACTTATTACAGCCGTGAGAAGCATTTATATAGCTAGCTAAAACTAACTGAAAAATAGAAAACGGAAAAAGTTATTATAACTAACTAACAACTTGTGCTGACTAATCAAAAGTGTGTGGATTGGACCTCATTGTATAATGGACTTGGGTCTGATTCGGAGTATTCTCAACAATTTTTGCATTCTGTCACAACCCGAAAGTAAACGAATGGAAATATTGTAACATTATAATCACAAAACAATACAATATAATCACAGAACGATACAATGTATAAGTTTGTCGTTTAACATATGTCATATTCATAATTAATCAATTAGATAATATTAAAATGGATGACATAAGTGAATGCTCAAAGTAAATGTGATACAACTTAAAAAACGGTGGCATTCTACCATGATTCCCATGCTATTGCTACAAATTATAAGGCAGCGATATTTTACCATGATTTCCATGCTATTGCTACAAAATTATAAGGCAGCGGCATTCTACCATGATTACTTGATTAGGCTTCATCCATCTCTAATAAGGCTCTTAGTGCAAGAGCACTGCAGTATTAGAGTTTTAGATTTTTTTTAAGAAAAATATTAAAAAAAAATATAAGGGACACACCAAAAAATAGCACTTGCCAAGTTATTGATTATTGATTGATAAGACCCAAAAACAAATTAAGAGCAGAAATACCCGAACAACCACAACTAAGGATTACATTTTCCCATTTCATTAATGTCTATTCGGGTTCATCCGAGTAAAACTTCCATCTAGACAGAGGTCCCCCAAGATGTAACTTCTAGGGAAGCAGAGACTTCTATTTCTACTCCAGTTAAGATTTCAGGTGGATTGGAGCGACAGGCGGTGTCTAGGTATCCTAAGAAGGTTGTGCAATAGCCCCAAGATGCTCCAGTTTTGCAATTGTATCCGAAGAAGGTTAGCTCCTCTATTACGACAGAAGTCTCCCACGATGTGAAGTCCAGTGTAGCGATGTCCTCGACCTTTACTTCACTACAGGTATCCTGTGATGAGGATCGGCAGACAATGCCCATAATAGAGTCTCAGCTGGTTCCCATTTTGCAACAGTTCTTAGGTACTCTAGTGGCGCACAACAGTTCGGAGTGCATGATTGCCCTTTCTGATGTTGATAGTCATATGGGAGGGATGAATTCACAGGAGTTTGTGAGAAAAGTTTGTGATTCAAGTTTTCAGTTCGCCACTTTACATTTCAGTGCCAAGTCTTCCCGCCTACCTTTTCGCCGTCACAGGTCTATTTTTCATTCTCAATTTAGGAAAATGAGTTCTGTGGTGGATCGAGCTAGATCAACTGCAAATTGCCAAGTGGTTCGTGTGGGTACAAAGCGTGATCGTGGACCTAGTGTGGACTTCAAGTACTCCAACTTGGCTCGAATAAAATTTGTTCGCAAGTGTCTCTTTGGTGTTTTTGCGTAGTGTAATTTGTTCATTGTCTTTTGTTTTCTATATTTCTTTATTAGTACTCTTTGCAATTAAAAAAAAAAAAGGAAAAAAAGGGGAAACTCCACCAGACACACCAACTCAACATCTTCTACAATGCAAAAGCTCAAAGAACAAAAGGAAATTGAAAGAAAATAAACAAGCAGAGAAGGAAATGAAGAGCATTTTATGGGAGGTTGGTGTTTTTCATAATCTTCAACTTAATAAACTAAAAATGAACGGTTGCTAATTCAGACAATTCACCAAAGACGTTGCATTTAAAGAGTGTTACTCAAATTGCAGTTATCTTCATCTCTTTCCTTGAGCGCCCACTCATCTGTTCAATTCGCTCCAATTATTGCTCAATTTCAAGGTTTGTTCTTATCTTAGTATTAAGACTGAAATCTGAATTTTTCGTTGCTGTCACCATCGCAATTTTCGTTGGGATTTCAATTGCTGTGCGTTTTATTGTATTTTGATTATTGGGCATTTTGTTGTATACTGTTGAATTTTAATGATATTCTGTTGATTTTGATGCATTTTGTTGTAATTTGGTATCTTTGATGCTAATTACAACTTGGGTTTCTCCGTCTTTTAAATTTGGAATTGTTAGGTCTCGTCGATTGGATCGTTTAGATGTAATATTGGCTTTTGGATGTGGGGTGTTTGATAACACACTTCGTCTAATTACTCTAATATCATTGTTTTCCACTTTTCTTTAAAGAAGATGAGTGTAGCAAAGATGCATCACTTACTTTTATGTTGAGATGAATGTCTAGGAACACCTTGTGGGATAGAATTAAGAATGTATATATTCGGAGGAGAGTAGGTATATAGGATATTGGAAATAAGATAAGGGAGAATCGACTACGTTGGTATCGGAATGTGAGGCATTGGCTTGAAAATGCATCATATATGTATGGTGGAGGGTTAGGGTAATGTAGTTTTCAAAAAGATGCTGAGAGATACCCTAGGTAATTTAGATGGAGGGAGTTAACAATGACATGGAAAAATTGGGTTTGCAAGTGCAAGTAGCAATGGATAGAAGCAAATGGAGGAAGAGAATATACGGCTGTTCAATTGGGTTAACAAGAGATAGTTTTTTGTTGAAATTAGCCAATCCCATCCAATTTGGAATAAGGTTTTGGTTTTGTTGTCGTCCTGATGTAGGCTATCAATTTGCAATTCCTTTCAGGCTTTAAGCATAAGTATATTATTCTGGGAACTTGTGGGTTTTTGCAAGTTGCAACTATATTCAGGAAACACTTAACTAATTCACAAAAAAAAAAAAAAAAAAAAGTTCTAATAAACTCCCTTATGAATGCTCCATATTTTATTCTGACCTACATGCTAATGGCTGTTCAATTGTTGTCCAATAGAATCATCCTTTTAATCTGCATGCTATGGTCACATAACAACCGATCCGAGGTACTTAATACATTTACTAAAGGGTTACTCCTTACCACCTAATGTCACAAGACTCACAACATCCTCACCTTGCCTCCTTCCCAATACTAAAACACAATCAAAACTTATTGTCATTAAATCCTTGTATAATCTACTAAGTGTTACTCTTACTTAGCCTAAACCCTTTAGATTCTAACTTTCACCTCCATTGCTCCACCATAGCATTTACCCAACACTAGTCCTCAATATGATGTATTAATGTATCCACTTCAAAAAAATAAATTCAAAAAATGGTAACACGCCTTTTGCTCATGCTTGAAAATGTTTGGCTGCCGTGCATCATTAGTATTACTGTTACAACATCCCTATTTACCCCTTTTGGAAAGTTTGTTTTACTAGGGACCTTTTGCACTATTTTCAATCAACCTCAACTAATTGGGGATTTAGGGTTATGACTGTACATTTTAAACCTCCCCTCATTGGTGGATTTATATCTGTTGGAATTTTCAGTCAGTAGGGTGCAAGGAATGCACCGAGACCTGCAGTAGTGTTCACTTATGCAAGGAGGAAGCAGGGCAAGGGCAGCAAATTCAATTGATAAGTCAGGGGTTGAGGTGTCAAGTTCTGTTAGAAAAGTTTGTTATGGGAAATCTTTTCTGTTAGTGGGATGTGAGGAAAAACCAATTGTATTTAAGTGAGTAGCCTTTGCTGTAATAATCATAAAAGAAGAATATTGTTAAGCATTTGCTTAGTGGGAGAGCTCCTTTCCTCTTGAAAGAAAGGTGTATTGAGTGATTGCCTTGATCAATTCAATACGAACTATCCTCAACCTTACTCTAATTGCTGCTATTACAGATTTCTTTGCCTGAGTTCATGCTAATTCCTAGCATAGGGTTTGCGTGTAATGCATTAAGGTGGTGCCCTGTATTTAAAGGCTATTCCTTAACTAGGCTTATTATTGGTGTGGTGTGAGATAGAGTAAAAAAATAGGAGATAGAAATTGATGGAAGATCTGATTGGGTGACTCCATCTATTCTGAGATACCTGTAATTCGAGGTTGATGTACATGGATGATGGAACCATGTAAAGTATTATTGCGTTAAAAATGGCAAGTATTATGGAACACTATGTACTCGTAATTTTAAAGTGACCGATGGTATCCTGAAGTGATAAGTATTATAAGTTGATGTTATTAGAAAGGCAAGATATTATGGAGCACTTGAATGCTTTTTTGTTAAAAGTGACAAGTATTTCCTGAAGTGGTTGGGTTGAGGTGCTTAGTCTGTCACTCTATCACCAATTCATCTGTAGTTGTTATCCCTTCAATCACTGATTCATTACTAACTTGTGAAAGTAGGTCTTTCTGTGTCAACAGGGTCATTTTCTGTCTGTAACTTATTTTATGTTTGATTCGATCTCATGCATTTCACAAAATGTTGCTGTTGAATACTTGCTTGTTAATACCACTTATGTGTTTGTTTATGTCTAATCTTTATATCACCTTATAAACCAAAGGCACTTTCTCTGCCTTCAACAAGGCATTTCAACATCATTTGGTGACAAGAAGTATGGTCATTAGCAAGCTCCTTTATCAATTACTTAACCTAACCAAATAGCAAGTATAGGGGCTAGTAAGGGTTGAAATCCTTGAGAATGGTTTGCTAGACACCTTAAATGAAATGCAATAGTAAATTAGCTTGGAGAAACTTTGGATTTGGGGGTTATGCTAACAAATAAAATAGACTAGGCGAGACGACTAACGGACTAATAACTAACTTAACGTAAACAGCTAAGGACTCGATGATAAGAGGGGGTATGTATATACTGTGTGAACGTAAGGGGGTATGTATATACTGTGTGAATGTAAGGGGGTAAATGGTATTCAACACCAATTAATTCACAGCCTTGAGTTAGCTGGGAAATGATTGTCTGTCCCTTATCATTATCAGTCGACTGCTTTGCCCTTGTGCTGGCAGCCTTTTTTTTTTTTTTTTTTTTTTTTTTCTAATTTGTTTTTGGAACTTTTAACATCTTCACAAGGTTCAATATTAGTCTTTAGATTTACACATAAATGACTTCTGTGAGCCTTCCCATTACACACTGGTGTCAAATAGGCTTATAGGCAAGCATAGCTCATTCTTTATAGTTATTAGTTTATTACTTCATTTCACAAGAGTAACAAGACATTTGCTGATGTGAGATGTCTTCTATTATTATGTATACCGCGTCAAATGAATCTATTTGCTATTCCACCAATTTATTATCCTAATTTCTCAGATTGCCAAGTATGAGAAGTTGCAACAGCAAGAAGAGGAACTTCTCTGTGGATTGTGAGTCCAGTACGTTGTCTCATATTCAAAGTCTCAATGTTTTCTTCCCTAGGCAATGCCCAGTTGAACTTACTTAAGAGACTTGCTAGAATGAGCTCAATGTTGGCAATGGCAAATAAGATTCCTGGACAGCCTCTCCTGCCGGACCCAAATGGAATTAGTTCGTAGTCTTGCCCTTTGAAATCTATTGAAGAATTCAAGAACCTTTCTGGATGGAACTCCTCAGGATCTTCCCATGTTGCTGGATCGCGATGAATTGCCCAAGCATTGGTTATGACTCTTGTCCCAGCAGCAATGTCATAGCCATTAATTTTGACATCTTGAGTTGATTCACGAGGCACCAGCAACGGAATTGGGGGATGTAGTCGAAGTGTCTCCTTGATCACTGCCTTCAAGTACTGCATTTTTTCCAGATATTCTTCAGATACATCTGCGTGTTCCCTGGTAATATCCCTCACTTCTTCTTGCAGCTTTTTCATAACTGTAGGATGCCTCAGAAGCTCTGTCATTGCCCATTCTAAGACAGTATATGTTGTATCAGTTCCACCAGCAAACATGTCCTGCATTTAGTAGAATAAATATACAGTACTCAAGTCCGAAGATAATTATTCGTATGATTGATGGTTATGTACAGTTTGTCAAAACCTTCCAGCTGTAGGAAGTGTTGATGCTTTCAAATGTTATTAAAATAATTTAAGTGGAATTTGGTGGACTGCAAAACTTGATTTTATGTGCTGAATCCCGATCATTGAACCATAATATGAGACACTGTGAGAAACTAGATCTATTGTGAGGTTTGACTTAGCTATTTAAAGCTGTGTAACCTCTGGATTGAGAACATTTTTGTTTACTTTTTCCATCTAGAAATTCTATACGAAGCCTACTATGAACTGCCTGGACGATAAGATTAAGAATGAAATTCTCTATTACCAGGGAGCTATGTTTATCTTTAAGTTTCCATGGTTTACTAAAATTAGTTTTATGAATTGCAGATGATGAAATTAGTAAATTTTGAGGATTTGTTTGTTTCTTTACTTTTTTGTGTTATACACGAAGTACATGATTATTCTATGCATGGCCAAAATTGTCCGGTTGTTTTCTAGATAAATACAAGTACTGTGTTTTGCTATTTGATATGTTGCTATCATCTAAGAGTAAGTAATGTTTCATATTTGTTTGGAAGCTCACCGAAGCAAATTTGGATATCAGTAGACAGATTCAGTAGTTAGGGACAAGGAAGACATACCAATATGAGAGCTTTGATGCTGTCTTTATTGATAGGAAAACCAGCTGTGTTGTCCATTTGAACCTGGAGTAGAACGTCCACAAAATCTTTCACCCTTTCTTTCTCACTTGCTGCACCATTTCTTTCCTTGTCTTGTCGATCCATATGCTCTTCAACTATTACCTCAAGAAACTCATCGAACTCTATGGCAAGTTTGTTCACCTTACTATGCAACCCATTCAGTTGATCAATCCAAGCCAGCCAGGGTATAAAATTACTCACCGTAAATGTACCTAGAAGCTTCACAAACTCTTTCAACAATTCCTTGAACTTGGCACCATCTTCCTCTGCACTGTATTTTCTCCCGAAGGCCACCCTGCATATCACGTCATTTGTAAATGTCATATTTCACTCAAATTCACAGCTGATGTCGACTTTTTGATCTTTTCTATCGTTAGGGCAACTTCTTCTGCTCTCACATTCTGGAAGGATCGAACTCTTTTGTTACTCAAAAGCTGGAGCACGCATATACTTTTCATCTGTCTCCAGTATTCTCCATAAGGAGCTCCTGCCACATTTTTTCTGTTATATATTAGCCTTTTGCTGATTATTGACTGAGGTCTGTTAGAGAATTTGATGTCATTTATTTTTATGATTTCTCGAGCAGCATTTGCAGATGATACAACAAGAGTTGGCTTGCTTCCAAGGTGAAGCAACATAAGCTCGCCATATTGCCGAGACAGGGATTGAAGTGTACAGTGAGGGTACATACCGAGTTGGTGAAGGTTCCCCAGTATTGGCAGCTTTGGGGAGACGGGGGTAAGTTTCTTCGCATGGATGCATTGAAACCGAGCCATTTATAGAGGAAGAATAAAGATGTGAAGAAGGGAAGGATTAATAATAGGTGAAAAAATAGCAAGCCTATTTGTTCCGTTATCATGTTAACGTTCATTGGAAATCAAAACATGTTAGCGGATTGAGCTCGGCTTCAATGTACCTCTAGGCTCTAGAAGACTGAAGAAGGAGCTGTCTCTCACTAGCAGACTCGCAGTATTATGCCAAAGCAATATAAAGGCAGAGGGAGGAGAAGACTTTATTTTTCGAGGTTGATGAAAGATAAAATGTAGGGATAATATTGCAGAAGTTTAGTTAGCTGAAGAATGTGAAACTTCTGCTAAACTCTGATATTCCTGCAAGTTTCTATGCATGGTATGCATAGTTTCACTACAGGTTTGAAACATGTGCCTCAAACTTTCCAACAATGCTATTAGACATTGTTTGTTCCACTTTTGGTAAGATTTATTTGCTTGCTGCTTCTTTCTTCGTATCCCATGTTTTATAGAGCTAGTCCACAGGTGATTAGCGTTGACATCATGCCATTACACACCGCCTTTTGAATTAAAGGTACAGCATATGTTAAGTGACCTTTTATTTTTCTTCAAATTGCTATAAATTATCTACTGTACTCTTAATGAAAACCAAGTTGCATTTCATTTCCTTGCCGTACTAGTAATTTTTTTAATTTGAAAGCTTTGAAGATACGTATTTGCACAATATAATAGAGTGATAATCGTAGGATAATGATCAGATTCAGATTTGATCTTAGTTAAATTATTATTATCTGTCACCATCTTTCCTGAGTTGCTAGTTTCTGTTGATTTTTCCTACAAGATCCATTGGATCATAGAGCCACGACTGTAGGGTCCCTATCTCTATATGAATGTATCTAAAACCGCCTTTCGAACCGGGTTGGTAGTGAATAGCGATCATGAAGTGTTCTATGTCTATCAAATTTTATACTCCCACTTGCTTGCATTGGATTGAATTTGATTAGTAGATATTTACTCTCTTTGATCTGCCAAGGATTTGCCATTCGTTGCAAAAGTAATTGTTATATTAGCGTTTTATTAACGGGTTAGCAGTCAAAGGTAGGTTGTCATAACTTAGTCTTCGATTGGAATTCATTTCCATTCTAAAAGCCCTCTAATTTAAGTTACAATTTTTTCTATTAAGCCGCCACCCCCATGAGATCCTATCTCTAAAAATTACTTCAAAACAACACGAGTAATATTAGACATTTTTTTTTATAATCCTTAACAAAGTTTTGATTCGGCTAACACTGAAATCTATTACCAAACAATTTGTATTTTTTTTCTACCCCAAATGTGTCATTGATTAATCTTGTATCTTGTTTAGCATATGTAGGAGAGAGTTGAGAAAGACCTCTTGGAGCAGTGGCCCAGAGGTCGCCTCACATCCTTGAGGTGCGAGATTCGATTCTCATCAAGCACAAATCCCATCCCCCAAACCCCTCCGGGCATTTTCAGTCGGGCTTCCTGTGATAGGAGCCTTTGATTGGGGCGTAGTTGACCTTACCGTGTGAAAAAAAAAAAAAAAATGTATGAGAGAGTTAGGGCGTAAGTGTTGCTAGCTTAACTGTAACTCTATAAGCTATTGTAATTGTTTTTTCACTTTTGTCAACTTATAAGGAATTATAGAGGACCTAGTACAGTGTTATACTCCTAGGATTAAGTCAAATAATTATGTCAATATCCATGAACATTACCACTACCTAATACTCGCTCTTTTGCCAATTTTTTTTGACTCTTTCAGATTTCAGTTGTACCAAATTTGAATGCGTCACTAATGTGTTTTGATGTTTTGTCTTATTACTTGTATGATTAAGCTCTATAGGACTATAACTATAGATAAGAAATAAGAAAAGTCAGTTGTAAAACAAAACAAAACTTTGAGGGTAAGGGATTGAAATTTCCTACCCTAAAATGCCGCATAGAGGGGTTGGAGCGATGCAAACCTTTCTACTAGATTAGTCTTGGTTGATGTAAAGCAATATTTGAAGGATCATATTTCATCGCATATTTATGCAATATTATTAGTTAGTTTTTCTTATTGACATATTGTCTTCCTTTCAAATGAGTCAAGTTGAAGGGAGGTGACAGTTTATATAGAGTTTTAACTTCTACTAATTTTCACTTCCCCTTATTAAACTTCCTTGTAAAATTATTTGCTCGTGTAAAAAAAAGTTCCAAAACTTGATAAGCTCAATTGTCCAAAGTGTATATGATAGTTATATCAAGAGATTAATGAGGTGGCATACTGGCATGCACAAAATATTGTGCACATCACATATATGACTGACAAATGATAATGCATATGCGCATGTAACCACTTAAATGACCCATAATTAGTCATAAACTTTATCACATAATTTAACAAATGGCATGTGAAATTAATCTTTTTGAAATTATTGTATACTCTGTAATTTTTTTTTTCCACACGATATCATTAAGTATCAATACCAATAAAAAAAAGGGATTTCTAAAAAAAAAAAAAATGAAAAAATTAACACCGTTTAAATAGGGATGCTAATTGGCTATTATTTTGTAAGAGACATGAAAATGCATGGGGAGATTTCAAAAGTAAAAAAAAAAAAAAGAAACAATCCAAAATTAAGGATTATTTGGCATTGTTTTTGGATTTTTGTTTGTTGTTTTTAGTTTTCATTTTTTTTAAAAACAAAAAAGAAAAAACCAAAAACAGTAAATAACACTTTTTTTGCAATGATCCTAAAGTTATTAGTTTTTTTTTTTTTAAAAGAAAAGTTATAATATAAGAATTTGTAAAGAGTAAAAAAAAAAAAAAAAAAAAATCACTCAAGAAAATAAGTAAATAACCATTGTTTAATAAAACATCAAAAATAGGTAAGTGTAAGACGTGTAACCATTACTCCATTTCCTTAAAAAAAAAAAACACATTATTCCATTAGTAAAAATATAGAATTTGATCTAGTAAAAAAAAAAAAATACACTACGTATAAAATTTGATGAAAAATGGTGTAATGAATTGGTCTAGAAAGATTCAATTAGCAAAATTGTACTGAATTTTCCATAATACTTTACTTGGCGATTTCATGACAATTTGCTGCCATGGGGGTTAGTTGGATGAAGCTTGCTTCCAATAATTCTATGCATTCTATCTCTCCCTTGTGCTCAATTGCGCGCACCCTGGAAGATTCATGGGATTACGAGGTTTGTTTTTGTGCATACCAACTGTTTGATAAAATGCCTCAGTGAAGTTGGTTTGGTTTCTGAAGGTATACTCTTCTAAATGGATTTAGTTCGTACATATTCAGTGTGAGTAAATAGATGCTCACATATGTATGATCTGGTACCTTTTATCGGAACGGGTTCTCGAAACATTGTTGATCACACTGACTGTTGTGAGCCAGTGAGTGTAAATGAATTTGATGTGCATTGCGCTATGACTTTGGTTTGTGTGACAACTTAGTTGAATTTATGATATTTCTGGGTTTTTGATTCGTATGATACATTGTAATGAAAAGACGACGAAAGAGAGACAAACATAGAGCATAGGATTGTGTTAGAAGTGCATAACCCATGAAGCATTTTCGAGTTGCTAGGTATTGCTGTTTTATTTTTGCAAGTAAAGCACCAGTAAGACCTTCAGTTACCTGCAGTTGTGGGTGATGCTATAGCAAGTAAAGGAATCTCCCGATGGGCGGTTAGGCCAATGCATTCAGTCATATCTAAAGTCTCACCGTCTGCTCCACCGGGCAGCATCCAGTCGAACTTATGCATGAGGTTTGCTAATACAAGCTCATTATTAGCAATAGCAAATGTGATTCCTGGGCAGATCCTTCTTCCTGATCCGAATGGAATTAATTCGAAGTCTTGCCCTTTGAAGTCTGTAGAAGAATTTATGAACCTCTCAGGATTGAACCTTTCAGGTTCATCCCAGGAAGCGGGATCTCTGTGGATTGCCCAGGCATTGGTTATAACTGTGATACCTGCTGGAATATCGTAACCATTGATTTTGGTGTCATGTATTGATTTTCTTGGAACCAGCAAGGGAATCGGAGGATGTAGGCGAAGGGTCTCCTTGATCACTGCTTTCAAGTACTTCATCTGCTCCAAGTCATCTTCATTCACATATAATTTCTCTCCGGTAATTCCTCTGACTTCTCTTTGTAGATTCCTCATTTTTAAGGGATGCCTTAATAGCTCTGTCATTGCCCATTCTAGGACTGTGTATGTTGTATCAGTACCACCAGAAAATATATCCTGCATCAGTCAATAACTTTACATTAACTGAATTCATAAAATACGCATAATTGTTGTATTGTGCCAATTGATGAAATTTTTTGTATGTTCTTGTATAATAAGCTCAACACTCGATGCATATTGTCTACGTCTATAATCAAATTTTGATTTTAAAGGTGTTATAGATATGTATCATGTTTGTATGTATTTTGAGTGCTTGTCATCCATCAAGGACGCTGCATAGTGTGTGGTAATTTAGTATTGTTTCCTTCATATTTTTATATTGGCAGAAGTTTTTTTTTTTTTTTTTTTTTTTTTTTTTTTTTTTTTTGGGGGGGGGGGGATAATTTTGTTCTGCCTGTAAGTGCATATGTGGTTTATATAAGTTACCTTGTAGATTTTGTGAACCTCAAAAGCCCAGCCTTTTAAAAATAGCTTAGACAGGATATTGCCTTTTAAAAATAGCCCAGCCTTCCATTGGGCAGCATGTTATATGGCTATTCTCATATGTGAAAACTGAACAAGGAGAGATGATGACTATTATAAAACCTTGATACTTGTAGAAAACTAGAAAAGGAAATCACGGATTGAATCACTGCAAACCACTAGCATATCGTGTGCCTACTTGGTCTTTACACTTTAGGGATCCTGGAACTAGAACATTGCTATCCTGCCTTACCTACAGCAGGGTAGTTGATGTTGACTTGGTGATGATTAAAGGGAGTTGAATTTTTTTATCTAGGGACATGATCCAGGGAAAACAGAACAGGAAGATGAAAGAATTAAAGCTTAAAGGATGAAAATAGTAAAAATGAATAAATTAAAATAAGATTGTTACCCTTACCAGTATTAGAGCTTTGATGCTATCTCTGTCAATGGCGAACCCAGCTTTCTTTTCTTTCTGAACATCAAGTAAAACATCTACAAAGTCCTTAGCCATCTCATCATTTTTGCTCTCTTCACCCTTTCTGCTGTGTCCTTGACCATCCTGGTGCTGGTGCTCTTTAACAACCTGCTCAAGAAAGTTATCAAACTCTTTAACAACTTTGTCCACCTTTGCATCCGAGCCATCAAGCCAATTAGTCCAAGCCAAACATGGAATAAAATCTCCAACTCTAAAACGGCCTAGCAACTCTAGAAACTCCCTCAAGAGCTTCATGAAGTTAATATCTTGACCTTTGTTATCACTATATTTCCTTCCAAAGGCCACCCTGCATATCACATCATTTGTTAAAGTCATAAACATCTCACTCAAATTCACCACTGAAGATGATGAGTTCTCAATCTTTTTAATTAGAAGAGCCATCTCTTCTTCCCTAACACGTCGAAAAGATCGCACCCTTGTGTTACTTAAGAGCTGAAGCACACATATACTCTTCATCTGCCTCCAATACTCACCATACTGAGCTGCTGCCACGTCCCTGCCATTGTAGAGAAGCTTGTTACCAAGCTTTGATATTGGCCTATTGCAAAAGGTTGAATCTTGGGTTTTCATGATCTCGTGAGCTGCTTTGGCAGAGGAGACGATAAGGACTGGAGCTTTCCCCAGATTAATCACCATGAGCTCCCCATATCTTTCGGATAGTGATTTGAGAGAGCGGTAGGGGTAAGCTCCTAGCTGATGAAAGTTGCCTATAATCGGAACCCTTGGCGGAGAAGGAGGTAGGCTTTTTCCGAGAGAAGATTTTGTGTGAAGCCATTTGTATAGGAAGAATAAGAACAGAATGAGTGGAGCAATTGTGAATGACTGCAGCCAGATTACCTTCAACTGTTCTATGCTGGGCAGCATCCTTCTATGTGCAGACTGTGATTACTTTTCTTTCTGAATCTGGGCTTTGAAATAAAGGGGTTTTCTTTGTTAGAATATTATTTTAAATGTATTCATTTGACTGACCAATAAAAAAGTCAAGTATGGTTGATATGTTTATTTATTAGATTAGTGAACGTCACAGTGCACAAATTTTTGAGTGCACATGGGACCATGGCAGCAATTTGTTTGCTAATCTTTTGTACGGATGTGTGGATGAAGATTATAGACCGGGGATAGGAGGGTGTATACCTCAATGCTCAAGTGTATATAAAACAAAAAATGATTATATAAATCTTTTACTATTTATACAATTTTCATTACTAGGAGTTGGTGGCAGTGGTTATGTTTTTTGTTTATCTTTAAGGTTAAAAGAAAGGGAATTTATTTTAGTCATAGTTTTGTAAATAAATCATAGTTCTGACTTTAAAGAGTTGCTACTTGAAACAATACTCTTGGAAAAAGATTATGTTTAAATTAATGCCATTTCGGAATGATGTCGATCAAAGAAGGAGAATTATGGAACTCTAATGCTCTAAATCTATTAGTAGTTCTTGTTATCTTACGGAATTATGCTCTGCTTTTGCAAAGCTTGAAGGTGAAATATTTGTTCCATGCTTTACAAAATTATTTGGTTTGCATTTAGTCATCATCCTGGCAATAAAAAACCTAATTTCCAGTCCCATGTCCTTGAAAAACAATCTTTGTTTCAGAATAAGACCATACATGGATTAATAGTTTTTTGGTCGAACCTTACCAAATTTAATCAAAATTCCTATTTCCCCCCCTTAATTTTACTAATGTGGATTCCCGGTGAAAGTTACAACATACTTTACCTGAAAAAAAAAAAAAAAAAAAGAGGATAATTTAGCAAGGATACATAGCATAGATACATTGTAAGGCAACAATTCCATATTATAACTTAATACATGCTTTGATGAATTAATGTCAAGAAAAGCAAGAGCAAGGATTAGGAGTATGAGAATCTGACTACGTAAAACATGTTGTAATCGTAAGATCTCTTCATTGCATAAAAACATGTTCCTATTGTTTGTTGCCCATCTATTTGCTGCCAACAACTCAGGGTATTCATATGCAGGGGTGCAGAGCCTTCAGTTTCCTGCAGATGCAATACAAGATTTTGCTACGGCAAGAAGTGGAGTATTTTTGTGCATATTGATCCCAAAGCTCTCAGTCATGTCCAGGGTTTCAATATCTGCTTCACCAGGCAACATCCAATCAAACTTACGCATGAGATTTGCCAATAAAAGCTGACTGCTTGCCATGGCAAATGATATTCCAGGGCACATCCTTCTGCCAGCTCCGAATGGAATGAACTGGAGGTCATGCCCTCTGAAATCCGTTGAGGAATTCAAGAACCTTTCTGGATTGAACTTTTCAGGTTCATCCCAAGAATCAGGGTCTCTGTGGATTGCCCAACCGTTTATTATAACTCCTGTCCTGGCAGGAATGTTGTAGCCAAATATTTTGGTATCTTGGGTTGATTGTCGGGGTATTAACAAAGGGACCGGAAGATGTAGCCTTAAAGTCTCCTTGACCACTGCTTTCAGATACTTCATATGCTCCAAGTCGTCTTCTTTTACATCTACTACTTCTCCAGTAATTGCCTTCACCTCTTCTTGCAGTTTTTTCATAATTCTAGGATGTCTCAATAGTTCTGTCATTGTCCATTCTAGTAGGGTGGAAGTTGTATCAGTTCCAGCGGAAAACATATCCTGTAAGACAATTACTTTATACAGTTAGGTAAGGTAATAAAGTACTAAAGAGAGAATATAAGGGTGCTAAAGATACTCTTTGTTTGTTTATCACTCTACTCTCTACAATTGGCCTATGTTATTATTGAGATATACACTGTCTTCATAATCAGTGCACACCTTCAGCAGTCACAATCTCGGTTTAGAAAAATTTAAACAAATAGAATATTCACTTTACTGTTGGTAGAGTCCAACCTGTAATCTGATTCTGTTTGTCCTGTAGTTTTAATTTTTGTCATAGGTGACTATTAGGTGTCTTTTGCTGTTATGCCTACACTTTAAACCCAATCTTGTCAAGACTCAAGAGTGATATTCCTTAATTGCAAGATATCGAAGATTGATGAATAGAATATATGAATAGGTTTAACTGACCAAACTATGCTTTTCTAATACTTGGCTCCCTGATAATAGCTAAGGAATTTAATGTTGCTGAGAACCGAGTATATTACATTGGGAAAATTTTGCTGTTGGAGCGACTATACTAGTGAGATGAAGTAGTGACATGTTTACATGTACATTAGAAGTTCCACCAATCTGTTTTATTTAGACGCAAAAAAATGCATATGAGAAATGAAAATGAATTTTAGCAATTAGTAATTTCCGACAATTGAGTAAACACTTACCAATATGAGAGCTTTTATACTGTCTCGGTCTATGGGAAAGTGAGGTGTTTGATCCTTCTGAATATCAAGCAAAACATCGACAATGTCCTTAGCTTTTTCATCACTGTCACCCTTTTCATTTTTCCTGCAATCATCTAAACGATTCTGGTGTTCTTGAACTACTTTTTCAAGAAATTGATCAAATTCTTTGGCAATTTTATCAACTTTTGCATCCCATCCATTAAGTTTATCAATCCAAGCAAGCCAGGGAATCAAATCTCCAACATTAAATTCAGCTAGCAACCTGTTAAACTCTTTCATGACCTTATTAAAGTTGATACCATCTTCCGTTCCAATGTACTTCCTTCCAAAGGCAACCCTGCATATCGTATCATTCGTGAACTCTATAAACATCTCGCTCAAATTCACAGGTGATGATCCTGCTTGTCTTATTTTCTCTATCAGAAGAGCTGTTTCTTCTTCTCTGATACTGCGAAATGACCGAACCCTTCTGTTACTCAAGAGATGGAGCACACATATACTCTTCATCTGCCTCCAGTATTCTCCATAAGGTGCTCCCACAAGATCCTTGTAGTTATACAGAAGCCTCTCTCCTTTCTTCGACATTGGTCTGTTAGCAAAAACAATATCATGGGTTACCATGATCTCACGGGCTGCTCTTGCTGAGGAGATGACGATGGTAGGAGCACTGCCGAGTTGAATCATCATGAGGTCTCCATATTTCTCGGACATCGATCGGAGAGAACGGTGAGGTTGAGTACCTAGCTGATGTATATTGCCTAGAATTGGTAGCTTTGGTGGAGATGGAGGCAGGTTTTTCCTGGAAATAGTTGTTAATTGAAGCCATTTGTAGAGAAATAACAGGAAGAGGATGAATGATACAAGTGTTAAAGGTTGCAAGTAGGTGTACTTTAGTTGATTTTGCAGCAACTGCAGAATTCTGGAATTCATCTTTAAGATTTTGCTGTAGTCTTTGATGATTGATGAATTTTGTGGATATGATGCCCAAGATAGAAGTAACCAAGAGATAACCCCATTAATTATGATTTGTAGGGACTACAGTCTACGACACAATTTAATTTAATTTATATATCTGTTTAGTTAGTTAGCCACAGCCACCTTTCTTTCTTTTTATTTCTTATTTTTTGGCAATAGAAATAGCACTCATCTCCATCCAATTTTTTTGAGATGGTTACTAGTGTACTATACTCACCAATCCAATTAGAGATGTCAAAAACCGACCCAATCCGTTTTATATTTAGATTCTTATAGACACAATAATCTAACATGACTCAAATTCGATAAACACTCGACCTAAATGAACCCAACCAAGTTACCTAAATTGATACCTCTGGATCCAATGTTCAAAAATGCTAAAGAACTAACATAATAAGTTAGAACTAAAGTTCTATTATCAGTAAGACTGTAGCTGTAAAACTTTATAAGAATGGAGAAATGGATTAGAGAGGATAAATCAGCTCTGAAGGGGGTTAATTAAGTGTTGCCTTTTACCAGTGGTATATGAAGTAATAAGCTATAACATTGGGCCTAGCGACTAGCCCACTAAACGATTTTGGTCCAACGAGTTGCATCCAATTAATGTCATGCCACATTGCCACTACTTGAATAATCTCAGCCTAATTAAATTCTATGCAGTAAGTTTATTTTTGTTTTTTATTTAAGGAGATCCTATGCAATAAGTTTTTATGGAGTAGTTTGTCATAACCATATAGTCAGGAGTATTATATTTCGTATGTTATTTTTACAAAATAGAACAATAAAGAATAACATAACTAAGAGATTCAATCATGAAATTCTCCGGTAATTCCTCTGACTTCTCTTTGCAGTTTACTCATTACTAAGGGATGCCTTAACAACTGTCATTGCCCATTCTAGGACTGTGGATGTTGTACGTATCAGTTCCACCAGAAAATATATCCTGTATCAGTCAATAACTTCACATTAACTGAATTCACAGAATACTCATAACTGGTGTATTGTGCCATATGATGAAATTTTATGTTTGTCCTGTATAAATTTTGGCTGAAAAGGTGTTATATACATGTATGAGTGTACTTATATTGCGCATTTGTTACATGCATTTTACCTCTCTCTCCTTTTAACACTCACAAACAAATTTTGCTTAAGAGTCTGTGTCATGCCATTTGTTACACATAATATAAAACTAGGGTAGTATTGTTTTTTGAGACTAATCGTGAACTCCTTGTGAAAGCTATGAAATACTTTACTTGAGAAAAAAAATATATCCGAAGTACAATTTTAAGGATCCTATATAAATCTCTTGATTATTGTCCATACTATCATACAAAGTAATATTCCTATATAATTCTCTTAAAACTCGGCAACTTACGAGGGAGCTATTTGTGTCACTTTTGTGCTATATTCGCTTTAGTCAATGCGCGAAGGGAATTAGAATATTACTATGTGGTAACATAGGTTCTTTTATATGCATGACTTTAACAAAACAAGAGAAACAGCTAAAAGCATACTACGCAAAAAAAAAAAAAAAAAAAAAATGGTGTGCCCGGGCAACACTGATTAGGAAAAATACAAGTTCGGCCCATTGGTGTGCAACTTGGGGCTGGTGCTTGGGCGAACATGATGTTTGAAATAAGCGACTGCTGCTCGTACCAAGGATACAAGTTCGGCCCATTGGTGCCTGTGCAATCGTATCGTATGCATTCATGGTTCGACTAAACAATTGACCACGTACCATATCATCAAAATAACGGTTATTGTAATTAACATGAGAAAAAACTCTACTTCCAACCCATTTGGCCATTTTTTTCATCTCTTCCTTACATACGTAAGTACTTATTGAGTATAAAGTTATACTTAAGAATAACTTGTAAGAAATTACTAACTCTGCCTCACGTACAGAAAGAAATAAATTTGCATTTTTAAGTTGTCCTTTTAAGGCTAAAAGTGTTCCAAATTAAATTAAGGATCATTTAAACATTTACAAGCTAAGCCCTAGTTGCTTGATTTCTAGTGATGAACTAGATTTATTTTAACTGAGTAATTAGTTTTTATAAACTAAAACTCAATATATGGACTGAAATTGAATTTATTGATTAATTAAACCTTATTCTTAAGATTAAGTATACTGTAAATTTTTTATTTAATTACTGATGTTTACTATGTACATACTAAAATTGTTATTTGATGATGAATTAGACTGATTATTACTCAAAAATTGATATTCATTGGACATTAATTCAGAGAGAACAATGCCTTAGCTTAGCTTATTCTTAGGCTAAACAAAACTTGGATCAAAAGTTATGGTTTAAAGAATATAGGTTGACAAGAGCATATTGCAATGAATGGATGAAAATAATCATAATTTATTGACGGATATAGGAGATAAATTATTCATTCATTCAGTCATCTCCACCCTTTTGGGATTTAAGCTTTTGATTACATAAAACACATAGTAATTGATTGATCTCTATTTTGCATTAATTCATGTTTTTTTTTTTTCGTAACACTTGCCAAAAACTCAAAGCCTTCAGTTTCCTGCAGCTGGTATACTAGCTTTTGCTACAACAAAAAGCGGAGTATTCCTGCACATTGTGATCCCAAAGCTCTCACTCATGTCCACGCTCTCACCTTCTGCTTCACCAGGCAACTTCCAGTCGAACTTGTGCATTAGATTTGCTAATAATAGCTGACTGCTTGCCATAGCAAATGATATTCCCGGGCACATCCTTCTACCAGCTCCGAATGGAATGAAGTGCAGGTCATGTCCTCTGAAGTCTGTTGTAGAATTCAAGAACCTTTCTGGATTGAACTTTTCGGGTTCATCCCAAGAAGCAGGATCTCTGTGGATTGCCCAACCGTTTATAATAACTCCTGTTCTTGCAGGAATGTTATAGCCACATATTTCGATATCTTGGGTTGATTGTCGAGGTATTAACAAAGGTACTGAAAGATGTAGCCGTAAAGTCTCCTTGACTACTGCTTTCAGGTACTTCATATGCTCCAAGTCGTCTTCTGTTACATCTACACCATCTCCGGTAATTTCTTTGACCTCTTCTTGCAGTTTTTTCATACTTTTAGGATGCCGCAGTAGTTCTGTCATTGCCCATTCTAATAAGGTGGAAGTTGTATCAGTTCCAGCAATAAACATATCCTGTGTTAGACAATTACATCACATCGTCGTTAAGGTGGTAATATAACGGTATTAAAGATAATCATGTATTCGTATTTCACTCTATACTCTAAAATTGTATATCTACTCTCTTTACAATTAGCGTACAATTTCTACTGTTCTGTTTTATATAGATGTTACAGAAAAATGCTAATGAAGTTTTGCGAAATGAAATAAATATTAACAACTTAGTATTTTACGAATTAATTTAAAAAATCACTTACCAAAATGAGAGCTTTTACACTGTCTCGGTCTATAGGAAAGTGAGCTGTTTGATCCTTCTGAACATCAAGCAGAACATCCACAAAATCCTTTACTTTTTCATCACTGTCACCCTTTTCATCTAAACGATCCTGGTGCTCTTTAACCACCTTTTCGAGGAATCGATCAAACTCTTTGGCAATGTTGTCAACTTTTGCATCCCATCCATTAAGTTTATCAATCCAAGCAAGCCAGGGAATACAATCCCCAACATTGAATTCAGCTAGCAACCTGTTAAACTCCTTCATGATCTTCTTGAAGTTGATACCGCCTTCTGTCCCAATGTACTTCCTTCCAAATGCAACTCTGCATATCAAATCATTCGTGAACTCCACAAACATTTCACTCAAATTCACAGGTGATGACTCTGCTAGTCTGATTTTTTCTATCAGAAAAGCTGTTTCTTCTTCTCTGACAATGCGAAAAGACCGAACCCTTTTGTTGCTTAATAAGTGAAGCACACATATACTCTTCATCTGCCTCCAGTATTCTCCATAAGGTGATCCAACAATATCCTTGTAATTGTACAGAAGCCTCTCTCCTTTCTTCGACATTGGTCTGCTAGCAAAAGCAATATCATGGGTTACCATGATCTCGCGAGCTGCTCTTGCTGAGGAGACGACAATGGTTGGCATACTTCCAAGTTGAATCATCATGAGTTCTCCATATTTCTCGGACATAGATCGGAGAGAACGGTGAGGTTGTGTACCAAGCTGATGTATATTGCCTAGAATTGGTAGCTTTGGCGGAGAAGGTGGCAGGTTTTTCCTAGAAACAGTTGTTAACTGAAGCCATTTGTATAGGAATAACAGGAACAGAATGCATGGTAGAAGTGTTAAGGGTTGCAAGTAGATATATTTCAGTTGTTTCTCCAGAAAATGCAGGAAACTAGAAATCATCTTTGATTAATTAATGATATTTAGGGGATCTGAAGTTATTACTCTTGCTAGGCGGTGTAATAACTAGCTCATATTTCATGATTTCTAGGGACTATGCCACAAGTTTATACTTGTATATTCATTTACTTATCATATTAATTTTTCTTAAGTTAGTCACCGCTTAAATTTTCTTTTTTAATTTTTTTTTTGGCCTATTGAAAGTTGAGACTTCAGAGTGATTTAAGTCACCGATTGTATGGTGATGGGCTGTACCAGTGGGCCTGTAGACTAGCCCAATAAAATATATTGGTCCATCTAGACAATTTCATGTTTCCAATGTTCCAATTGAATTTTTTTCAGCCCAAGATATAAGATATTATTGTTCAACTTGTTAAGAGATTACAGCTAAAATTACCTAGGTAGAGGTAAAATTCTCTACTGATCAGTGATCACCAACTATGCAAGTACTACCTCGATTTCACAATGCTATTAAAAAATATTCCGCTTGTTTATTTCATAAAATTTGTAACATAGGTAGTATTTACTTTATTCTATTTTGGCGATTTTTTTTACTACCTTATCCCACATGCACCTTTTTACGCACAACATAAAATATAATAAGCTACGTAGTAGAAATAAACCCAACACGATACTACATAATTATATTAATAAGACATGGAAAACTATTAGAGATAAAATCATGCAAGACTGATACAACATAATTAATAAAGGTGGTACAACAACACATGGACAATCGTACAGACACACGCACTGTTAGATTATGTAAATAATCTTGTGTATATTAGTTTGTAAATTACTTATGTATCCTTAGCTATTAACCCTAGAATATGCTTGTACATATATTGATGATTAATCAATGAGAAGGCCACGACAAATATTCTCTAAATCTTATATGGTATCACGAGCTTAGGTTAAATTTTTCTCCCTAAGAATTCCTACTGCTCTTCCGCAAACCCTTACTCTCTTCTTCTTCATCTTCTTCTTCCATGGCCGATTCAAGCAAGCTTCGTCCGACTACCATGGTACTCAACATCAAGGCGTGTATCCCTATCACCCTTGACTATGCTGACACTCAATACAACAACTGGTCGACTCTCTTCCAACTTCATTGCCGTGCTAATTTGGTCATTGACCATATTCTTCCTCCACCAGTTGATCCTTCGGCCAAACCATCCGAGCCTACGGATGCCGAGAAAGCTTTTTGGCAAAGACTTGATGATATTGTATCTAATGGATCTATGGGACAATTTCCAATGACTTTCTTAACTCCATTATCAATCCCGATGACAAGGCGGTTGATGCTTGGAAGCGTTTGAAGAAGTTCTTCCACAATAACAAGTCTGCAAGAGCCTTACAACTCGATGCCCAATTCACCAACACCAAGCTTGAACAATTTGAGGGTGTTAAACCCTACTGCACTCGCCTCAAAACCCTTGTTAATAGTTTGAGGAATGTTGGAGACACGGTCTCTGACAATCGAATGGTCCTTCAATTATTGAAAGGTTTATCCGAGGAGTACAAACCCTTTCGTACGTCGGTTAGACATCTCAATCCGCTGCCATCCTTTGATGCTTTGCCCTCGATGCTTGAGTTGGAGGAGCAAAGAAATGCTACAGATCTTCAATCCGAGTCTAATGAGGAGGCATTACTTGTGCAGTCCTCTTCGACTTCCAATAACAACGTTGAGAATTTCCCAAATTCTGGAGGAAATCGTGGGAATAATTCGCAGACTGGTGGCCGAAAAAACAACAAAGTTAAGGGCACCGGAAAAGGGAAGGGTTCCGGTAGTTCAGGCGGTGGTTCAGGCGGCCGGAGCAACCAGTCGCAGCCACAGCAGCAACGTGGTTCACCCACACCAAAGCAGCAGCAGCAGATGCAACCATAGGCAGGGTGGATGCTTCCCCCTCCGTGGGCCTACTGGGGTCAAAACCCATGGTCCACTCCACCATGTCCATACCCGACACAGGCTCCAGGTCCAGCCCAGTGGGCGCCAGCAAGGTCCGGACAGCAGCCAGGGGTTTTAGGGCCTCGACCTTCTCAGGCTTACTTTGTGACCAACCCGTCTTCTACTTCGGGGCATGTTCCGACTAACATAGAGCAAGTTATGCATACCATGTCTCTTTCCGACCCGAACTATTACATGGATAGAGGAGAAACATCACATATGTCGAACTTACATGGTAATTTATCGTCGTATATTCCTTTGATCAGAAATAATAATAATTCTATTATTGTTGGTGATGGTAGCAAAGTTCCAATTCATGGTTATGGTCACAAATCTTTACATCAAAACACACTTCACCTCAAAAATGTCCTACACGTGCCCAAACTTGTTAAAAATCTCAAATCCGTTAGAAAGTTCACTAATGATAATAATGTGTCATTTGAGTTTGATCCGTTTGGGTTTTCTGCAGACGGGGAGAAAAATAGTGAGATGTAATAGCGGTGGTGATCTCTATCCCTTCTTCACCGATCGTCACCTCATTTCCACTTCAAATTCGTCAGCTTTTGCAGTTGTGTCTCCTAGTGTGTGGCATTCCCATTTAGGTCATCCGGGCAATGTGATTCTTAGTTCTTTGCGTAGTAGTAATCTCATAAATTGTAATAAGGCTTCAAAACATGTTTGTCATTCTTGTCCTTTGGGAAAATTAATGAAATTGCCATTTTATGATTCTATGTCTCATACTACTATGCCTTTTGATATTGTTCACAGTGATTTATGGACTTCTCCCGTTCTTAGCTCTCTTGATTATGTTCTTTTTCTTGGCAATTACACGAATTTTCTATGGACTTTTCCTATCTCATCCAAGTCCCAAGTTTACAACTTGTTTCTTCGTGTTCGAACATATATTAAGACTCAATTTGAAAGGGAAGTAAAAGCCTTCCAATGTGACAATGGAACGGAATTTATCAATACTCCATTTCAAAAATTTTGTGAACAAAATGGCATGACTTTCCGCTTCTCTTGTCTATACTCCTCTCCTCAAAATGGCAAAGCTGAAAGAAAGATTAAAACGATCAACAATGTTGTTTGCACTCTTCTTAGTCATGCCTCCATGCCACCTACTTTTTGGCATCATGCCATAGTATTGGCCACATTCCTTCATAACACCCTTCCTACAAAGATTCTAGGCTACAAATCTCCGACTCAAATTCTATATCAAAAGCATCCCGATTATTCTCATCTTAGAGTGTTCGGTTGTCTATGTTACCCCCTCTTCCCCTCCTCTAAAATACACAAGCTTCAATCTCATTCTACTCCTTGTGTTTTTCTTGGTTATCCGTCTAATCATAGGGCTTACTAGTGCTTTGATATATCGAGTCGAAAAATTATAATGGCTAGACATGTTTGGTTTGATGAGTCGGTTTTTCCATTTTCTAAAATTCATACTCCAAATTATCATACTTATGATTTTTTGGGCGATGCCTTAAGCCCCCTTCATCATCCCTTAGTGCGGCAGCAACTCACACCTACCAACGAGCATGAGCAGCTTATTGTTACCTCACCCACACGGGATCCAGTAGGTACTGGAGTGGGGAGGGTACAGCATGCTGCCGCGTCTTCTCAACCCGTAGGTTTCCCAGCGGGCGCTGGGTCGGGCAATGCAAAGCAGCACGCACAGCACACTGCTCCCCACCACGAGCTGAGCAAGGCAGTGCAGCAACATCACGCACCCTCCTCACCTCCTTCTTCTCCTATTGTGGCCTCTCACTCTTCTATTATCTCATTGCAGCCGCATATTTCACCTCCCTTCCATGTTACCGCACCTCAAACTCACCATCCCATGGCTACTCGTAGCAAACACGGAATCGTCAAGCCTAATCCAAAATACCAAAATCGAGCACTTCATACTACTACCTCTATATCGCCTAATCCAAAGAACCCAGTTCATGCCATTCGTGACCATAATTGGAAAATTTCTATGCAGGAAGAATATGATGCTCTCATTGCTAATGGTACTTGGGATTTAGTTCCGAGACCGTCTAATGTCAATGTTATCCGCTCTTTGTGGATTTTTCGGCATAAGACTAATTCTGATGGCTCGTTTGAAAGACATAAGGCTCGTCTTGTTGGTGATGGTAAAACTCAAAGGGAAGGAATTGATTATGATGAAACTTTTAGTCCGGTTGTCAAACCGGCAACCATTCGGGTGGTTCTTAGCATTGCTTTGTCCCGCTCTTGGCCAATTCATCAATTGGATGTTAAAAATGCATTCTTACATGGTAACTTGAATGAAACGGTTTATATGTATCAACCATTGGGCTTCAAGGACCCCGCTCGCTCCAATCATGTATGTTTACTCCGAAAGTCTTTATATGGTCTCAAAACAGGTGCCCAGGGCTTGGTATCAACGATTTGCTGATTTTGTGACTACTATTGGTTTTACTAACAACAAATTTGACAACTCTTTGTTCATTTATCACCATGGTCGTGACATTGCATATTTATTGTTGTATGTTGATGACTTTGTGCTAACAACTTCTATAGAGTCACTTCGTCACCAAATTATCTCCCGGCTCAGTTCTGAATTTGCCATGAAAGATTTAGGCAACCTGAGTTATTTCTTAGGTATTGCAGTGACTCGTGACAAGAGTGGCTTATTTTTGTCTCAGAAAAAGTATGTGAAGGAAATTCTAGAGAAAGCAGGCATGGCTAACTGCAATTCTTCTCCCACTCCAGTTGATTCTAAAGGGAAAATGAGCACAGACTCCGGTGATCTATATGCGGATCCAACCATGTATGGTCGATTGTGTGGTGCCCTGTAATACCTCACCTTCACTCGACCTGATATTTCCTATGCAGTTCAACAAGTTTGCTTATTTATGCATTCTCCCAGAGTTGCTCATATGGATGCTCTGAAACGCATTCTGCATTACATTCAAGGTACAACTGATTTTGGTTTACACTTATATAAATCATCTATCACCTCTATCTTGTCTTACACGGATGCAGATTGGGCCGGATGTCCTGACACTCGTCGTTCCATATCCGGTTACTGTGTTTTTCTTAGTGATAATTTGATTTCATGGTCCTCAAAACGACAACCTACTTTGTCAAAGTCTAGTGCGGAAGCAGAAAACAGAGGAGTTGCTAATGTTGTCTCTGAGTCCTGTTGGATTCGGAATTTATTCCTAGAGCTATATTGTCCGGTCTCTAAAGCTACATTGGTTTATTGTGACAATGTGAGTGCTATATATCTCTCGGGCAACCCTGTTCAACATCAACGAACAAAACACATTGAACTGGACATTCACTTTGTTCGTGAGAAAGTACAACGTGGTGAGGTCCGTGTACTACATGTTCCGTCCTGGTACCAGATTGCAAACATTTTCACTAAAGGTCTACCGAAAGTTTTATTTGATGATTTCAGGGATAGACTCAGCGTTCGCAGTCCTCCCGTTTCGACTGCGGGGTGTGTTAGATTATGTTAATATCTTGTGTATATTAGTTTGTAAATTACTTATGTATCCTTAGCTATTAACCCTAGAATACGCTTGTATATATATTGATGATTAATCAATGAGAAGGCCACGGCATATATTCTCTAAATCTTATACGCACACTTTGGTGATAGTTGTACTACTCGCAGTCTCCCTAGCTACAATGTCAAGAATAGAGATGACTGCTTTCATTTATTTCATGGATACATATATATATATCGATCGATCCGAGGACATAGACATACGTATCTCTAATAAGATCAAGTTCACTCGAGATGACGAAATTGTACACATTGGAATATAGGAGGCATAAGCTTAACGGGAAAGCAGTCATAGGGATCACAACAGCTGTACTGTGAGTACGGGATGCAATATTCGCCCTTCTTTGTACAATTTAAGTGATTTGTATTTTGAGTAAGCTATTAAAGCAAGATGCTTGCGAGAGGATCAGGGAATTGGCGAACACCCGTGATGAGTTGAGGTTTAATTCGTAGCAACCATTAAAAGGGCTACCAAAACCACCATACTCACAACCCTCTTCATCTCCATTTTTCTCACTTTCTTTTTTTATTTGAGTTTCTTGTTTTTCGTTTTATGTAATGGTGTGTGTTTGATAATCAACAAAATTAAAGGATTCTATTTATAGACAGGGGTGGACCTAGCTAGGGTCCTAGACTCCTGATGCCCTACCACCCGCAAAGCGTATTTTTTTTTGAAAAAAAAAAATTAGGTATTTTTTAGTTAAATACTCCATAGAATATAAAGCGTATAATGATATTTTAGCTTACCAACACCAAAGCGGTTAGAACACTAATTTTTCTTTCAAAGGTTATGGGTTCAATTCTCTTATCCAACATCCTTTCTTTTTTTTTTCTATTTTTTTTAAAAAATTTTAAAATTTAATTTTTGTGATTAATGTTCGATCTATTTACCCTATAAAAAAACATTTTTTTGTTGAGGAAAAGTTAGCCGGAATTATTATTGCAAATCAAGTTCCGACAAAGTTAAGATACTTTGGGGGAAAGAGTTCATACATACACGTTCGGAACATTCATTTGTGTCCCATCTAGCTACTAAATGGGCCACAGCATTTCCGGTTCTTTTAACATGAGAAATAGTAAAAAAAAAAAAAAAAAAAAAAAAAAAACCTAAACAAGTTTGATAGCTTCTTAATGTCATCATACAGCAGAAAATTAAATTTGGAGATCTTCCTTTAGTAGCTTGCTTAACATTCTTCACAACTGACAAGGCATCACATTCCACCCATATATCCATGTGCCCAAATCTGTATAAGGTCTGTAAACCATACCTTAAAGCTGCTGCTTCACCCAATTCCGGTGGCCATTCAACGTCCAAATGCTTCACAGCAGCGAGCACTACTTCACCCTTGAAATCCCTTGCCACAATACCAAGCCCCACATACCCATTCCCAGCAATTTTTGC